CTTTTTACATATWCAACCATTACAGATGACTGAGCTGTAACCCAAGAAAGGACAACCTCTCTTTACTCCCATCGCCTGCGTTTAACTACTATTAGTATTTTGAGCTGGAAGACTGCAGATTAAGAACGAAGTTTTGCTTCTGGATCCATAACTAAAGACTTTCACTGGAAGAGGGAGCTCAGGTTATTTGTGTGGGTGGCATTTCAGCCTTTGAGAGCATATCTTGTGTGAGAATGCTAGGTGAAGCAAGGGAAGATAAGGCCTGACTTCTTCATCCCAGGAGAATTTACAGGCAGAAAGTGAGAAGAGCTGATAAATGCAGGAAGAGCAGAGAGCTCTGTAAGGTGAATGTCAGCAGAGATGGCCTGATTATGAGCACCCTGCAGCTGGAAGGTGGACCACATCCAGCTATGAAAGCAGCCGTGTGCTGGGATGGCCAGTAAAACCACTGGCCAGAGAGTGGGATCCAGAGGGATCTTCAGCAATAGTACAAAATCTCTTGGGTAGATGGTTGTCCCTTGTCTGCAGGGGCTCCCTGTTSCTGACTACTTGAGGCAAGTGTCAATGCTCAGAGTGAAGTTAGTTCGTAACTCCAGCAAATTTGCTCATGTGGCTCTTGGGTCCCGGGAAGGTTGAGAGCAAAAACCAATTTTATCTCAGTGCTGGGCTGACTGGTGTTATCTATTTTCTTCCCTCAGAGAAAGCTGCCACCTCTCAACTTATTTTCCTCTTGCCCGTATTGGGCTCTCTGAGCTGTTACTCTCACCAGCTTAAATGTGTTCAGTTCGGATACTGAGCCCAACTTTGCACGGAATGGAGCAGAGCTCTGAGTTTTCCTTGAGGCTGTGTGCTGCTGGTTTCATCTGGAAGAAGTATTTCCTATTTATGGCTGTCAGAAAGCCATAAAGGCTTTTCTCTAAAGCCAGAAAGGTTTGAGAAAGTTTAGTCTGTTTTCCCTGTGTTACCTAACACTTTGGAAGCTGCCTGCAGAGCTACTGGACCAAGAGCGTGAGCTGCTTTCACGGGCCCAGGTTGGGCAGGTTGGAGATGGCAGCCAACAGCTTTTGCTCCATGGGTAGTGTGCAAGAGCAGCCGGAAACCTGCCTGCCCAGTGTCCAAGTGGTCCAGCTTGGAGTAGAACTCTTCAAATCATTAGGCCAAATGTGATGGCTGCTGGAGCTTGGACAACTTGGTACCCCGAGTGACATCAGAAGCTGTGCTGATATTTCCCTCTGAATATGGGTGGCATTAGAATAACTCCTGCATGTTTTCTGCTGTGTGAAAAGTCTGATCTCAGTATTACGCAAACAGATGGAAAATGATGCTGAAAGCTACAAAATGTAAATGGAATTGACTCAGGGTGGAGAGAGAGTAGATGGTCTGTCCCACAGCCCAAGGACAGGATTGACTGTAAATATTGTTCTTGACAGATATTAGTCTAATGGCGACCCCAGTCACCCTGGACACTCCACATCAGAACTTCAGTTTTTTACTTGTTTTAGTTTTACTTAATGACTAACCTAAAGCTACTGTGATGTGACTCATACTGCACCATGGGCAAGGAGAACTGACTCTTCACTGGCTCTCCTCGTTATTGCTGAGTATTTTTAGGTAGTTGAGGATYTTTAGCACGTGTTCTCACACCTCACTGGCAATGCTTTCTTTTCCTTTTTAGACTAACTGGGCCAGATTTCCTGAGTATTTCCCAATAAGTTGCATTGTGTAGCCTGGTAATCATCTTGGTGCTGTGCTCAAGCTGAGCARTTTTCCAGCTGAGCCATTCCCAATCTGAGTGAGACAGCAGGAGTACTTCACACACCTAACAGGCTTCATTTCTCTTTACACATCCCAGGACAATAACCCTCTTTTTTTCCTACAATAGCCAGACTCAGTTGACACATGATTCACTATAAATCCTACCTCTTTTTCCCCAAAGACTTGCTACCTAGCCAATCAGAGGATTGTGTGCACATTTTCCTTTGCAAATACTTTGCACTTGTCCTTGCTGAACTTTATCCTAATTTTTAGACAACTTTTTTTTTTTTTTTCATTTTGCCGAGATCATTTTGGATCCTAATCCTCTCTTCCAGTGTGTCTGTGGTAACTCCCAGCTTTATATCATTTGCAAACCTAGTACGTGTGCTCTGTTCYGTGGTCCAGGTCACTAATGAATGTGTTGCACAGAGCTAGACTATGTAGCTCCAGCAGAGCCCTGCTCAGACTGTCCTTCTGGCTTCACAGCATACCACTAATAACTACTCCCTGGGTATGGCTTTAGAGTAGTGTCATTTAATCATTTCTCCCTAGTTTGTTTATGCGAAAGTTGTATTAGATGGTGTCAAAAGCTGTAGTAAAGCCCAGATAAATGACATCCAACAGCTTCTCTATTATGAAAAGAAATTAATTGAGTTAGAAGCGACAGGGAAAAAAAATTCAATGTCTGCTGCTACTTATGGTTTTCTTTTTTTTTTTTTTTTTGTCATCTTCTAAGTATCTGCAAACTGTTTCTTTGATTATTTTAGCTTTTGGTTCCCCCCTCACACACACACACATACACACACCTCCACCCGAGAATTGAAGTTAGATTGAGTGCTATAGCATCCCTTTTGCTTTTTACCCTTAAAGACATGTGAGGCGTTTGCCTTTCCCTGGCTCCTCACTCGCCTGCATCCCCTCCAACAGTGTGAGGTGCCCCGGGATGGCCTGGCCCGCTCTGTAGGTACTTTAAAAGGTGGCTTGTCACACATGCTGATCCAGAAACATCGRAATTTGATAGAGCATTGAGTTCACGGTAGATCAGGCAAAGTGCCCCTTTGTAGTGGTAATGGGTCACAGTATTACCTRTGCTAGTCCCCTGTGCAGAGTAGGCAATTTTAATAAAGCCTAAGAAAAAAATCAAGCAGAYTTTGCCTCTTTTGCTGTCACTTTTCAATAACTTTCCATCTTTTTGAGCAGTACTGTTCCTGACTGTTGACATTTGTATAAATATCCATATAAACGGTAATAAGGATTTTTTTTTAATTTCCTCAAGTTTCACTTCATTTTTGTGTTCTTATATTTCTAATATTCTTGCCTGTGTATTCTCTCTGTTCTTTAACTCATGCTCGGTAACCTTTTGGTGTACTTTCTTCTCATCTCTGAGATAAATGGAAAGCTCATGATGTTGCCAAGTCTTCTGATCCTTCTTCTGCATTGAGATGTTTTTTGTGCTTGTTTCTTTTGAGAAAAACATGTTGTTTCTTTGTGAAAATTCACTTTTCCTTGATTTCTTTTTCCTTTCAACTTTACTTCACAAAATCCTACCTGGCAGTTTGCTGTACATACTGAGGTCAGGCGTTTCTCTTTTGCTGTTCCCAAACCTTTGCTTATGGCAAAGCAAAGATTCCATCATTAGCAGTCACTTCTAAGTGACTTTCCTTCCATCTTCTTCCCGCAGCAAGTCCTTCTTTTTTGGGTACAGTCGGGTCTGGAAGCACTTTGTCACTAGTGATTGACCCATCAGTTAAATGAGAATGTTGTTCCTAGGGCTCAAGGACCGTCTGTCTTGAATTGCCTTCCTTTCCTGCAGGTATCTGGTGCTCATGCTCTCTCATTACCATCGAGTCAGTTGTTATCAAGCAGCCAGATCCATTTAATCRTCTTGGTTTTTGCCCTTGGTTGTGCCCTACCCACCGTTTTCCTTCTTTCTCCCTTTTCTGTCTCTCTTTTTTTTCTTTTTTTTTTTCCTCCCTTCTTTTCTCTCTTTGGTTATTAACTAAAGATTTTAAGGGTCTGCCTCTGTGTTCTGGACCTCAAAGTAAACATGCTCATCAATCCTTGGTTTCTCTGCCAGTCTTTTCTGAATAAGTTAGTATTAGTATTCCAGTATTAGGTCTTATTCCAACAGCTGTCAGATTTTTTTAATAAAAAAAAGAAAAAATGCAAAATTTGACTTATTAAACCTGAGATCTCAATTAAGACCTAGGGCCTGTGTTAAAAGTAATATACTTGCCAATCTTGCATTAAATGTCTAAGATATTTGGAAGATTGGATGCAATTTCCCAGTCCTCCTGTGCTGCCTCTAGAGCTGTGTCCAGACTGCTTCTGTAATTGTGCTTTCYTCCTGTTATCTCTATACACTACTCTGAGCCTAAACCTAAGTTTTTCTGTTGGTTCAGCCATTGGTGGAACATCATTCTCTTGCTGAAGATGGCAGAGCCCTCCTGGGGCAACATCTCTAAGCCTGAGCTCCTGTGCCTCTGCCTTTGAGGTCATTCTAGGCCCCTTAGTCCATCAGCACAGGGGAAAAAAAAACATTTCCAGGTTTGTCTCTGAAGGCAGAGGACTGGGGAAAGGGGCTGGCCACCAAGTCACATGTGAGTGGTGACAGCAGGAGGAAGGGCAGCAGCTGTGGGAAGGGAGGTGTGCTGAAGGGGCTGTTTTGGGAACCAGCTTGCAGCCTGTGTTCTCAGGGCTTTACTTGCAGGGTAGGTTTAAGCTGCTGCAATCCACCACTGCCAATAAGAGACCCCCTTAGTGCTTATTTTATCCCTTCATGTTTGCTGCTACCCTCTCCCTCGAGCCATCTCTCATGCTACCTGATGGGAACCAGGTCAGGCGACTGATGCAGGTTAGAAAGAACCAAGCCCCAACACACCATCATGGAGGAGGGCAGAACCACCTCCAGCAGCAGCCGTGTCCGCCAGCTTCAGGTGCCAGTGATGGGGCTGTGGTAAGATGTGCCCCTTCAGCCTCTCCCCGAGCAGGTCGTGTCCAGCTGGTGGCAGGGAGCGCTCTGCGTAGGCGCCCGGCTCAGACTGGTAAGCCTTGCCTTCACTAGGTGGGTCTGGAGCTAATGGTGACCTTTTATTCCTTTGCTGAGAAGGGCAATTGGTGCCCTCAAGTGGTAGACAGCAGAAGGAAACAGACTTCGGCTGTGGGAGTCCAGGTGCTGAGCGCCTCCCTCCCTGGTTGATGGTGATATTGGTGCCATTGSTAACTGTGATGTCTTCTCCTTTCAGGGCAAGCTAGTCCCACTGACGGTGGTAGCAAGAAGATGTTGCTCCTGGTGGAGAGCAGGATCTCGATGGCATGTGCAACTGGACAGCGGTAAAAGCCCCTGGAGAAGCTCACCTCTGCATCCTTTTGCTGACCTTCCTGCAGTGTCACTTCCAGTGTAGGACAGCATCCCACCTCAGCAATGCTTTTCCAAGCAGCACGGCTAGTGGAGCCCARCGCTGTAAGACTAGATGGGTCTGGGCCTTGTTTTCAATTCTGAACCGGCCTCCAGCATGGTCCTGGGGGAAGCAGAGGGCCGCCCAGAGCCTGGCAGGTCGGTTAGCGAAGACTTGTGGAGCAGATGCTGGAAGTGGCTCTTCCCATGACAGGAGGTGCAGGTGGCCACCATGCCCATCACCCAGGAGAACGCGGGGCTCTTCCTCCCGCTCTTGTGCCAGTGGCTGCAGAACAGCCTGCGGGAGCAGGTGGAGGGTCCCGAGCAGAGCCTGTGTCGTTCAGCCATCCAGAAGCTCACAGAGTACATCCAGCTGAATTTCTCTGTGGATGAGAGTAAACTGCAGCAAGGTGGTTCCAGTGCTCTGGACATGGAGATCTGCACGGCTTACCTAGCCCAGGAGATGAGAAAAACTGAGATTCTTGGTTTGAGTTTTGGAAACATCCCTTCTTTGGGAGACTATGGAGAGAAACGGCGGGGAGGAAAGAAGAGGAAGGGCCATAAAGGTCCGATGCTTGATGTTGGATGTATCTGGGTGACGGACTTGAAGAAAAAYAGCCCAGCGGGGAAGTGCGGGAGAGTGCGACTGAAAGATGAGGTCCTTTCTCTGAACGGACAGTTGATGGTTGGCGTGGACGTCAGCGGGGCAACGTAAGTACAAAGCCACAGTGGCTGATCAGTTGCCTGCAGGAWCCCACGGGAAAGGTTGTGGTTGATCCTGATTTGTGGGAGCAAAGTTTTTGAGCTCTACTTGGCCAGCCCCCCCAGAGATCTGGGGGTTCTTGCTTGTGGATGTGTAGAAAATATAAAAGAAAATCAGTTAATAGGGCTAGGTTTGCTGCCTGCCTATTGTGGGGGGGAAAACTGTTGGGGTTCTTGTCGCTATCAAAAAAATACCACATCAGAAGCAACAGAGGGTGGTCACTAAAGCAGGATTTTCTGGTGCTAGATGACTTTTCTTCTAGTAAAATGAATGYAGGCTTAGCAGCATGGCAAGATTTTCTTGGAGGTTTATCTTATTTTCATCGAATCATTTCAGCTGAGGGAAGTTTTCTTGACAGCTAAATGGTGTCTGAGGCTTTTTCAAAGCAAGMCATTTTTGTGTTTTCCAGGTAGAAACAGCTTCATGTTAACAAATTTGCTTTGATTTTTATTTCATTTTGTTCTTGTTTTGCTGTCTCCTGCTCTAGAAAACCTGAAGCCTTTTAGAGTTCAAATCAGAAATGAATGTACCTCTAATGATGTAAATTTTTCTCCTTTCTCCCCCATCCACCCCTCCCATTTCTTGCATTCTATAAAACTGGTTGCTGCCACAGCTTTGCTATTGGGGGCCGGGAAATGGGCTCACAATTCATTTTGCAAAGGCAAAAACCTTTATGTGATAAAGATGAGGATGCAAATGCTCATACTTGAGGTTGCAATGTTCTTGAGGACATAATCCCCACCCTCTCGCTGAAGGGTACAATTTAGGGATGGACAGTTTTGGAAACAAAACCCTGGTTGAATGGGCCTTTGTGAAAGAGGACTCCCAGTGGCTTCATCTGCAGCCTGAATAACCAGCAGACTTCGTGGGTCTTGGAAGCAGTATTTTCTTCCAACAGAGAAATAGCCCAGCAAGTGAAATCCCCAACAGGGACAAATAACAGATTTTTAGCTGCAGTAAGCTGTGTTTTGCCCTACTAAATATTGGAGGGGRTAAGGGAAGTGAACTGAAGCTTTACTGAAGAAATTCATAAGAATATAGTGCTGATAAGGAAACTAATTGGTGGTTTGCTGCCCAGGTTGTCAGACTTGCAGAGCCCAACAGCCTTGATCCGAGGGGTAACATGAGATGATTGTAGCCTGGCAGAGCATGTGGTCCTCTCTGCCAGCAGACAGCAAATATTCCTCCCCAAAGACTATGTGGGACAGAGGATTGGGGCAGCTGCTACTTCCAATTCTGCTGCCTGGCTTTCTGGTGCCATAAAGGTCTCCTGGTGCATCCCTCTCCCCAAAAATGGACCTTGTGACTCTGTTTTTCTGTGTCTTTGTCTCAGTGCTCCATTCTGGCTGATGGTTCTTCTGTGTGACGTTAGAGCCCTGCTCCATGTTTGCACGTTAGCTTGCAAAACGGTCTTGATTAAACAATGAAGTGGCAATCAATAATGCAAGCARTAAATAAAAGGTGTGACTTTTAAATCTGTGGATGCTGGGAAAGGTCATTGGTTTAAAAAAAATAATTTTTTTAAAAAAACAACTGCTGGGTTGACCTCCCTTGAACATCCTGTTTGAACTCAGCATTTGCACTGCAGATATGCTAACAGGTCTTGTAATTTCTACTCTTTATGAGTAGAAGTGTTATGACTATAAACTCCCTGAAATCTGAAAATTTTTCTTCTCAGAAAAAAAAAAATCGTTTTTTAGATTTTGGTTTGGGAGAAGTCTGTGTCCCTAAAATCCAATGGAATTTGTTGCACAGGCCAGCAACAATGTTATGTTGTTAATGCAAAAAGAAAGATAATAGTGGATGGAGTATAAAACATTTGGGTATCTGTTCTAACTATCCTGTCCCTGAAGGCTTTATTTTTTTTTTTTCCTTTCCAAAAGCTATTAAACCACCAAGCTGTGACTATTGGTAATGAGAACCAAGTGCTCCCTTTTCTTTAGTGGTTTATTTTTTTATTTTATTTTTATTTTATTTTTWWTTWTTTTTTTGCCGTCACAAAAGCACAATTCGTACAACTTGGGCCAATATTGGGGCAAATATTGTTGTTCTTAACATCTCAATTTAGAATGTTCTGTGTCCTAAATTTGGGCCTAAATTGGACATCTCTTAGTCAGAAACTGATGTATTTTCAGCCTGCAAAGCTTCCTCACCTAGCTTAGTGTCAACTACTATTTGACAAGGGTGATGTTGATAGATGACTGTTTGGGATCTTGAAGGACTTCTCAGTTTAGAGAACTTGCTTTTATTTCTCRGCGATCTGGCTGGTAGCTCCAACTCATGCCCCATCCTGCATGTCTGTTTGGGTCCAGGAGGCTTTGTACATCCTTCTGGTTTCTCTGTTGGCTTTATCAAAACAGAGATAATTCTGTCATATGTCTATAATCAGATGAAAGATAGTGTCAGTTTGCAGGATGAACTTTCCTAAAGTATTTCTGTCTTGCTGCTACAATAGTGGAGCCTTTTCTCTGTGGTTCTGTGAGGTGTTGGAGCCGGACAGCGTTGAAGGCAGATAAACCCAGCACTGAATGCAGGGACAACCAGCACTGTGCAGTGTTTCCATGGGCTGGACTGCACAATTATTCTTTGGCCGTGCAAAGAAGAATTATTCTTTGCTTGTGCAAGAAACAGTTCTAGGTGGATATGCAGGGGTTTTAGTGCTGGGATTTCTGCCTGATGGAGTTAAAATCCTGCCTGTAGCTCCTGTTAGCACCAGATTGGAGCAGGCGAGCAAAAGCCCTGCTTTCATGCTCATTCCTCACCGCCAGGTGCATCAGGGCAGCCCCATCTTGCCCAGTAAGTGCTTTGTAGCCTACACTGGCATTTTTAGGGTATCTCTTGGTCTAGTTTCCTTACAGTGGAGAATATGGCATGTGCTTCAGGACACYGGGCACTAAACAGAGGGTCTCATGATTTCTCCTCTCTCCTGTAAGTTACCACCTTTGTGTCAGGGTCAACAGAAATATGAACTTGTGGTCACCTCATGGCCTGGTGAAGCTCCATGCCGCCCTGCAAGCCCTCCTGGACAGCTGAGTGGCTGAGGAATGGGGATGCAATCCCATCCCTGGCTTTCTATGGACACAGGCAGTCTCTGGAGGATGAGGGCAGATGGCTGCCCCAGTAACAGATTGGACTCACCTGGACATATCAGCTTAAAAAGCCCCAAAGCCAATCAAAGGTCAATCAACTTTAAAAATCAAATTATCCTGCTGTCCTCTCTTTCTCCCCCTGCTTTTCACAATCAGTGWTTGGATTTGCACCTCAGCATCTCTTCTGCTGCCTCCGAGCAGGGAAGACACAAATGTTCCCTGCGAGTTGTCCTCTTAGCACCTGAGTTTGGCAGATACAGTGCCTAAATATCCTCAGCTCTCAAAGAGGTAACGGGGTCGGTGACGGTGCTGAAGAGCAGCCCGTGGCTTCTGGGGAGGGCAGGCTGCTGGTGTCACTGGCTGTCGTTCCCTTTTAGGGAAGCTGAATCTGAGTTTTCCTTTTAAAAAAAAAAATTATTTAAATGCCACCTGATTGCAGTGTGTATAGCAGAAACAGATTAATTATTGATGCTCTTGTTTCTTTTTTTTCTTTCTTTTCACTTGCAGAAAGATTATGCATTAATATAATCATCAAAGCTCTTTGCTTAACGGCGTATTATTACATTAGCGTAATGATGTAGGTGGTGGCATTTTTGGTGATGTTAGTGACTAAAGGAAGATTATTGCTCTCTTCAGAGGTAGCTAATTGTGCATGTCTATCAAATACAATTGCAGTAAAATGAGCTGTATCGGAGTACAGAATAAAGGTTAGTCAAAACTCTGCATATTTATTTATGTTCTGTCTATAAAACTGCTCTTCAAATACACTGACAACAACAACTTCAGATGTATTTTGGAACTACTTCTTTCATTTGAGGGCAATTACTCCTTTCTGGAGGGAGACTGTTAGGATTCTTGCAGATGACAGGTGAATCCTTCATTTCTTGAGCATGACTGAGTGGGATTCCTATGAGGACGTCCTGGGAGGATTGCTAAGGAATTATTTTGTCAAGAATTTCCTCCAATTTGAAATACTTGCTTATCAGTTGCATCAAGTGTAGCTGCAATGCTTGGATACAGCTACCATATACATCTAATCTTTAATATCAGTGCTGAATAGACTTTCAAATCCAAGCTGTTTTGGAGAAAGCTAAGCAATATACATTCTGAGTGATGACAGTGTGGTATAAACATGAGATGTTGTTATAATATTGTCATTGAAGAAACCCAACTATTGCTTCAAAATATCATATTTTTCTCTCCAAAAATGTCCAGACATCATAACGGGTGGAAATACAGTCAAAGAACTGGCTGGTTCTTTAGCCCACAACCTGGAGTGGCTTCCACAAAGTGGACAGAGAGCTGTTCTGCCAGCTGTGGCTTTGCAGGGCCCTTTTGTCTCTCCTCCTCAGCCAGTGTCCCGAAGAGCTGGATCTCCTCCCCAGCACAAGATGTGCCAGGCAGAATGACAGGAAAATCAGCTCATATCCTAAGAGGTTGAGAGTGATCTTCAGGAAACCAGACTTGCAATGGGGGGTGAGTTTTATATAAAACCACTAACGATGAGGCTTTGACCTCGCCTGAAGTTAGTGTTTCCAGATGAAACTTACTGAAATCATGGTCTGCCTTAACAGGTCAGTACTGTTTTGAAAGAGCTACAGGTTAGGTTCCTCTCATGACATACAGACATCCTAAACACAGGCCTAGCTCCAAAGGAGAGCATGGCAGAGCGTGACACCTGAACTCAAAACACACAGAACACTGTGTGGCTTGTTTGAACCCTTCTGGGTCTGTATTGAAGAGTTTGTGTTTGTGCTGAGGATTTGCTGTGCAGTCCCTAGCTGTGTTGGGAGCCCGATTCTGCTCTCTGGGGTCTTCCAGAGGTGGTTGTTCTTCCAGGCCTCTGTGCTGGGATTTCT